GCGATGATAATATTTCGCGCTGAATTGTCGATGCTTTTAGGATTATTCCTGTTGTACGATATAGGCTACCAGAAACTCTCCGTGCCAAGGTATTTAAATCCCCAACTTACGTAAATATAGAATTCAAATATAGACCAGAAACGGATCCAATTATTATCAGCCCCACCAGCTGATTGTGACATCATAAATATTTATCGTTTTCTTTTATTTACAGATTATTTAAAATTGCTGTTCCTGCTGGAATTTTTTTCCTGTCTCTCACAATTGGAATAGATTCTATCTTTTGGGGGCGAATTTTGTGGCCAGAGGGAGAGGTCTTCTACTTTAATACAGTGCTCAATAAAAGTAGTCAATGGGGTGTATCCTTTTTCAATTTAATAATGGAAAGAAATGACAATATTTGCTTATTTTGTTATAAATTATATTTCTTCGCTTTAAAAATTCCTAATTGCCTAAACCCCAATTTATTAAATTTATTTAGTTTCAAAGACGAGTATCTCTCATGTTTATTTTCTTTGAACGTTTCCATTTATTTAATTTATTCAATTCCATTTAATTTTTTTAATTAATTTCCAGTTCAATCCCTTTCCGGAATTCTCCCATACACCAGCAAATTTATTTCCTCAACGATTCCCTCAGACATTGCCATTCTTCTGGTACTTCTATTCAGCCCTACCCAGAGGTCTGGCCTTCTCCAGTCTGCTGGTACCCCTAGGAATGCTCTGGGATGCTCGTGTCCGTGCCCTAACAGTTCCTGCAGTGATCTTCATCCTCCTCTTCTCCTTCCTCCCCCATAAGGAACTCCGTTTCATCATCTACGTATTTCCCCTCCTGAACATTGCCGCAGCCTCAGTCTGCCACAGAATCTGGGAGAACCGATTAAAATCAACATTCTGGGCAATTCTCTCTTTTAGCATCATCGCACACCTCATCCTCAACGCCATTGGCTCAATGTTCTTCCTCTGCGTTGCAGGATCAAATTATCCTGGTGGAATGGCCATCATGAGACTCCACAGACTCGAAAGAGATACAAAAACTCCAGTGAATGTTCACATTGATGTCCTGACTGCTCAGACTGGTGTCTCCAGGTTCACTCAGCTGAATCCCAAATGGAGTTATTCGAAATTGGAGAATATAAGTTATGATGATCCAGAGAGTCTTGATGATTTTACACATCTCCTCATGGAAGCGAAGAGTAAATATTCCCCAAATATCAAACCTTATCTGAGGACTCATGATATTCTTGATGCTGTGGAGGGATTCTCTCATATTGCTCTCAATTATAATGTCATTCCTCCGGTTAAAATTAAAACTAAACCCACAATTTTTATTATGAAGAGAAAACCAGATGTTGCTGGAGGAAGAAATAAGATTAAAGAGGTGAGAAGAATTTCTGAGGAAGTGAGAGAGATTGAGGAGAAAG